AGCACATCGACCTTATAATTTCAATACCCAACACTCAACACCCGATACTCCATAACTCAATAAAGATTCAGTTATTAACTAACAACAAGTTTATATCCAATAGAATGACATAAATAACCACCGTAGTGTACTAGAATGAATGTCCCTAAGTCATGAAAGATACAATTCAACTATACGAAATTCTCTGCAAATTCTCTTAGTCGGAGAGTTGCAGGGCGGGCAGAGAGCCCGCAGAAGTGAGATTGAGTGTAACCCGTTCTATCAACTGCAAAGAAGCAGAAGCATTGGGGCGGCGCGTGTAATACGAGGCAATTTCTGTGCTCCGCCAAACCACGTACTGGGCAATCTGCTCCGGAGTACAACCCAAACCCTTAAGGGTGTATGAAATCCTTACACGAAAGCTGTGAAGGGTCTCCGTCATTAATGCTGGCAGCCTTAAGATACTTTTTGAGTCTTGCAGATACGGCTGACCCTCTAAACGGACGATGTGACACAATCTTTTTATGTTCCGAGGATCTAAAGAGTTTCTCACTCAGAAGAGGGACACCTAACGCCCCACATGCGGCAATATAATAGTTCAGCCAAAAAGCCAGGCAGACAGATACATTTGGTATACCGCGTAACAGAGCAAAAGGGGCGTAACTTACCTGCACACCTCGTTTTACTAAACGTTAAGTTAAATAGGAACCCCTCCCTATCCTTAAGGTGAAAAAGCTCATCTGCCTTTAAACGGCCCAGATCGGATGCTCTATCACCGGTGTAAAAGTCTGTAACAAAGAATGTTATATCTCTGATCAGGAGGCATCTATTGAGAGGAGAAAGCACAGAGCCTTCGGCAATAAGCCCGCGACGATAGGCAATTAAACGGGTGAATTTGTCATAGAACAAAGGGACAGCCTGACAAGGTTACAAAGGTCGCTGAGCTTGCTCCTCTCTTACAAACATAATATATTCTTTAACACAAGGATGTGCTAACGGGTTAGAAAACCCTGTACGGCCTAACCTATTGAAAATCGCTGTAAGCTTACCTATATATGAATCGACGGTTCCAGCCGCTAGACGCTTAGGGCAACTACAGGTCTTACTTGAGCGTGAGCGTATATGGAGTTTTTGTTTTCCCGCGGCATCCATGCTAATCAAAAACTTAACGATGTCTTCCGCGATCGCAGCAGAAAATTTCTTTGGGGGTACAAGAGAGCGTAAGAAACTCGATAGCTGAACTTCTAATAAATCCTTTGCCGTTCATAAGGTTTGTTTCTGAGCGATTCTTGGAATTCTGTAAAGCGTTTACAAGTTGATCAGAGGCGTGTCTGCATTTGAACGGGCCCCTCGCGACTTAGGTTTACCGCAGCCATGGCAAAAGTTCGCGTCACTGTCGTATGGGTAAGAGCAGGCGGGACATCTGTAGGCAGGCTTCCATGTGCGTTCGATCCTACAGCTTAACAGGAGCAGATAAAGCGAAAAGCGCACTGATCCCATGGTAAGGCCTAGCAATGAAATCTGGGGAGGTGCGAGGAGGGAAAAGCGGTACGGCCGTATCACCTTTCCACCCAATAAGAAAAGAATCTACTGCCATAGCTTGGGGTATTGCCCACCAATAACGATGCCGTTGTAAACGAGGGACAATGACAGTATAAGCGAAACACCGGCGTTGATAAAAAAAATAACCCCCAACAAAGGTCCCACGAGAACGACAGGAGGAAAGACATAGACGTTATATTCCATCTGTATCGTTTGTGCGAAAACATTAACTCCCGGAGAATACGGAGTCGGCTAAGGCGTGTAATGAGGCAACAGGCTTCTATCCCTTCCTCTGCGACAGTTGCTGTCCAAAGATATCAAGTTAAATGTCTGTGGTCCAAACCTCGCTTGAAACTCGGGCCCACGCCTCGTCGGACAAGAAACAATCAATGTCAAACAAGGTACGGGAGGGCGCGTCAGCACTGTTTTCATTCGATGGGACATATTTCAAATGCAAAGCAAAGTTTTCAGCTCGAGACATTTCTTCTATATTTTTTAATTCCTTCTTTACTAGAGAACTCCCACAACCGCCATTTTCCCAGGCTTCTGGGAGAGTCACGTTGTTTGTCCACACATTGATTCTTGCGTTTCTGATAGAAGGGAAAAAGGAGATCAGTGTTAATTACATAAAGCCCTGGGCTCAAGGGCATTGATATCACCTTCAAGGTTGATCCAATAATCTCGTATTTGCTGGCCTAGACCATCTTTTACCAAGACTGCTCTCCAGGCCATCTGGGAGACGTCGCTGAACATTGTGACAGAGAGATGATGTTCCGACTGCCAAGGTAAGTGACCAGACCAGTTGTCCAAAGAAAGTCCATTCCCGAAGTTCCTGTCGCAAAGGTCCTTGAATTGGAACAGAAATCTTCGAATTCTTGGCAACAGCGCTGGTAGATTTGAACACCTCCCGTACATACTGCTTACAAGCCGGGATTGCAAGACTAACTGATAGTGCTTTTCCTGCGAAACGCTGCAAGCTCCAGTACAGGCGCAAAAGATGACCCCAAGAGTTCCTCACGCAACGTTTTAAATTTTCCCTTTTTATCTAGTGGGACTAAAAAGGCTTGCAATACAGAATCGGAGATGAAACACAGGAATTTAACAAAAGTGAATGGTTGTGGAGAACTCTTTGCAAGGTTAACAAAGTATCCCGCTGAAATCAGAAGGAATACCAAGATAAAGGCTGCTGCTTGTGCGAGTTGGCGGCTAGGCTGGCAAACCGCTAGGCCGGATAGGAATAACTGGCCCACATCTCTGTCATCAATATACTGCGAAACAGGCAAGCCCAAAGATCGCGCGGTACTGGTGACGACAGGGCCGACGTTATGATATAAATAGACACTTGCTCTCCATCCGAAAGGTAAGATGCAGAAAGAAAAATAATAGCCTCTCCAGGAAAAACTGAAGAATTCCTGGGAGTCCGGTTGAATCTTGAGGTGTTGGTATCCACTCTTGTCATCAAATTTTGTCTGGAAATGCCCTGGGAGGACATAACAGGACAGGTCTTGGAGGTGGTCTAACTTGAAAGGGAGATCTCGTATCCGTAAATTAAGGAAACGCTCGTCGTTCGACTGTCAAGGGGAGGTAAAAAATACGATCCTAAAATATGAAAATGCGCGCGAAGGAGAAGACGGACCAACATGACTGACTTAGAGCTACAAAAAAACTTTATACAAGTGAGCTTACGGTGATTTCAAATCACCCTTGGCCAATTATTACGTGTAACTAAAGAACACATTTCGCAATTTTAGGTGTCGCAGACATAGCTTCAGGGGTCGCTTTTTTAATTATTCGTTTGCTTTTTATGCCACCTTTTAAGTCACAAGAGACACTAAGTGTCAATTAGTGAATGTTTTCTAGAAGCATTGCTTCGCTTAGCTTGCGTGGCTAGCAGCAATTTTCGCGTGGATTTTTAAGTAATTCTTTCTTGCGTTTTTCAAACATATGGGGCAAATACGCTCGTAATCTTTGCGTCAATGCCTAATTTTCCTGTGTAAAAGGCTATCGTAGCTTAGATAGCAATACAGAGGGGCCGAGTTTCATGAGTGAAATCCAGAATAGCTTCGTTTTCGCAAAATCAGCCAGTCTTATACCACACAACTCTTTTGTGAGTACATAGCACTATTTATGTGGGTCGAGAGAGCCGCTTGCAGTGAAACCCTTATAAAGGAACATAGGTTTGAACATAGGCACATGTCCCTCCGATGGTTGCTCCACCAAGAGGGTCGATAGGAGATTGAGTGAACTACAAAATACATTGTTTTCTAAATTCGCAAGTCTCTGGTCGCCAAAGTGGATTATTAGCTCGTTTGTTAGAATTTAAATTTTAACAAAGGCTCCCACAATGCGATAGCCTCGATCTTTTCCAGCTACCGTTCGTTTCTTGAACCCCTCTTTACGGGCAGCTCCTTAACACGGACATCTTGTTAATTATTACTGACATTTTCCCTTGTCCCCGCGGGTAAAGACCTCACATTTTCTCTTAACCTAACAGACTAAATACGGACAACCGTTGATGCGGACAATGGACACTTGCGTCTTGCCCTATTAAAAGATTGTTACAAAAATCAACCTCTTGTTGTTAATTAATGACATGTTATTGCCAGTATATCCTATACAGGCATTGTGGCAAAGAAAACTTCACACTAAATAAATTGTGTTAACGAACGATACTATTTTTGTTGTTTTTGATAATTATGTATCTTTTAATTGTCAGTCATGCATTATGTTATACTCAAATTATAACGTACCTACAATCCTCGCCAAAAGTCCTTCAAAAACCTCTGCAATGTTGAGATGTGATTACAATGTTACGTGGCTACAATATTATTGCAAAAGGGAGGAGGAGGGGGAAACCAAGGAAGCAGAATTTTCCAAAGTGTTTCAAGGTTTTTGTTTGAGATTGTAGCTTACCAGAGGGCGAGAAAGTAGTAGGTGCATGCAGGGCGAGAAAGTAGTAGGTGACCATTACCAGTACAAATAGAGGTCAGCTGCAAGCGATGACCAGGGGTCAATTTGATAAAACGTCTAAAACGAATGGTGTAATTTACAAGTGTAGCTACTGTTTTCAAACTCTAAAACAATGGCTACATTTGTAAATTAAATGTTTTATTAAATTGAACCCAGATTTAAAATGGATTTTGATGAGGCTGTTTTATCTCATGAATTATTTGTGTCATAAAGATATGCTAACTCATTCTTGCAGGTGGCTGGACACCAACAAAATTGATCAGCTTCCTCCTGGGATCTTCTCCGATCTATCTGAACTAAGAGAGTTGTAAGTTTTATTCTCTGTTTGTTGGTAATGTTCAAGACTAAAACACTAGGCTTGTTCAACCACGTATAGATACGATTCCGTAAGAGTAACCTACGCGGCTAGTATACAAGCAACATTAAGATACCAACATCACCCGAAAGCGGTGTAGGATACTGTAGCTGACCCCTTTTCCAGTAATAGGGTTGGTTCCATCAAAATACTCAAATGTGCCATTTTTAATACAAATTGCGCCATCCCGTGTGACACACGAGCGCAATATAATTTTTGTTAGAACGCCGTGCAAAGAATACACAAACTGGCATCGAAAATACCTTTAAGTGACATGAATAAATTCCCTTTTGTCGTCATTGTCCCTTCTTGAAAGTGATTATAAATGTAATGATGATTATGGACGTGATTCCGGTTATTGTAAACATTGTAGTAAAAGTGCTTTTGATAAATCCAATGACGAAGAGATGTCGGAAATGTCGTCCAAAGAGCCCGTCCGGGTGAAAAAAAAACATCAGGGAAAGGAGGGTGGAAAATTACCGCCACCAGCGACAAAAAATAATGGCAAATGCAATTAGTTGATGAAGATGTTTCTGCTTTATTACTGGCACTGAAGAAAGAGACGAGCCTACAAACAACTACACAGTCATTCCATTTCTGAGTATAATACCATGCATAAATATTTTATTCCTTTTATTCCTCTTCATGATTTTTTAAGCCACATCAAGAGATACATCGTGTACACGTGTACATATTTCTATCTATGGTATTGCCGTTTTTTGTTAGTTTTCGAGATCACTAAAAACTTAAGAAATAGCGAAGGAAATTCTTAGATAACACAGCCCAAATGAGCTGCGAGGAGATAGTTAAAATAAATAGAAGTGTTTTTGTTTAAATAAGAAAAGCAACGCTTGAAGCGCAGCAAAGTTGTTGTGGATTTCTCTTCTTATGTGGATGGAAAAGTACGGATAATATATATTTAATAATAGATATGACATAGGTGTATATTACATATGAGATATGAAGCACTTGGAAAATTTAAAGATCACTTAAGAAAAGTTACAAGAAGATCTCCCATCTCCTGAAACTCCATGCGGGAGCCTGTCAAATTTGCGGGTCCCCGCTCGAGTTAATAACGTTGAGAGTGGCTCAATTCTTCCTAAAAATAGCGCAACTAGCCATGGAACCGTGTGGACCCGGCGCGTGCGATTTCTAATCCGATTATGGCTCCAGTACAAATCAGTAAAAAACAAACAGTTGTGGGTAATACGTATTTTAAAGTCTTTTTTGTATCATTGCCAATTTTAAATCTTGTAAGTAACAGTATTATTGTGCTAATCCTCATGTGCTGGAAAAGACATATGGTTAAATTACAGAATTAAACTGTTACTTCCTTGTACAAGGCCTACGTCAGGCACAACCGTCTTTTAGTCCTAATGGTACATATAGGAGCCGTTGACCAAGCTCCTAATGCCTAAAATATTTGTTACAGATAAGAGATATGTCCAAGTTTGCAGGCAGTAGCAAAAATTGTGAAAAATTTGGAGAAATCGCAGTTTTTGCTAAAATTACTAAATTCAAGTGGTAAAGGAGGTACAAGGGTGTCCAGCAAAAACTGCGATTTCTCCAATTTCTCCGATTTCTCCAGAAATTGCGAAAAATTGGAGAAATCGCAGTTTTCGCTAAAATCATAACAAGCTAGAGAGTCGATTTTAATGCGAAAGCGCCGTTGAACGGCGCATTCATGGAATATTTGTGGGGATTATAATTAGGTAAGCTGTCAACTCCTATTGTTTTGGACTAAGGCTCAAGTTTACAAAGAAACCCTGAAACATGTTTATCAGCTGTCGACACTTTCAATTTTTAATCAGATTCCTTTCATCCCTCTCTTTAATTCTAAGCGTTAACAAGGTGAGATTAATAATCCTTGGTCGACTTCTGTCACGTTGGCAGCATAAGCATAATCGACAATAAGTATCATGCAATGGTTTCGTCTGACTGTCGAAAACCGGAGAAATGTAACAAAATTTAAAAAAGCGCTCAGTCTCCTTGCAGAATTGCGTGAATATCATCACACATATATCTATAAACTAGTTAAGTCAACAAATTCGCTGGTTATGCACATAATTTCAGTAGCAAAGGCGTTTAAAAATATATCACATATTTACATAAGTTACACAGTTCCTAAAAAGTACAAAACAAGGATTCACGAGAAGTTTCCCTCCTTGCACAGGGGAAGTTATAAGGCTAACCTACGAAAAATGGCCGAACTAGACGGAGAAAGAAATTTCTTTCAAGGCTTAATTTTAATCGAGTAACCCATTTTCGACGTTCATTAAGTTTCCGCAATGATTTGAAAAGTGGTGTCTCCTCGTATTGAAGGAAGTAGATTTTTGGTGTGATCATGATGAGGCTCGTGCAAGAAAAAAAGATGCCCGTCTGACCACCTCAATAAGAAAGCGTTCAATTGATCGAATTCCGGGATAACGACAGGCAGAAATTTGAAAAAATCTCTTCGACTGAAAATTATGCACTACTTAGGTGAAATATTGACCTCAAGTATAAATTCTCAACATATTCTGGATTGTAAATGAAAGCCATATAATTTTTTCAGTAAGTCTTATTCCAATTGTCGTATTACAAAAGGTTGAAAGACATCAGACAACTTATTCCTGAACACGGTCAATCGAGCGCACAGTAACATCATTTATGAT